TGAGATACCATCTTACACCTGTCAGAATAACCAAACTCAAAAACACCAATGATGTTTTTAGCCTATGCTGGAGAGGATGTGGAGTGAGGGGAACACTCATCCATTGTTGGTGGGAATGAAAACTTGTGCAGCCACTGTGGAAATCAATGAGGCGGTTTCTCAGGAAACTGGGAGTCAACCTCCCTCAGGACCCAGCAATACCACTCTTGGGACTATACTCAAGAGATGCCCTATCATACTACAAAGCATTTGTTCAACTATGTTCATAGCAGCACTATTTGTAATAGCCAGAACATGGAAACAACCTAGGTGCCCCTCAATAGAAGAATGGTTAAAGAAGGTGTGGAACATATACACATAAGAATTTTACTCAGAGTAAAAAAAAAAATGACATCTTGAATTTTGCATGCAAATGGATGGAAATAGAAAACGCTTTACTGAGTGAGGTAACCCAGACACAAAAAGAGGAATATGGTATATACTCACTCATAAGTGGATTCTAGCCATAGTTAAAGGTCTTTGAACGTATAATTCGTGATCCTAGAGGAGCTAAATAAGAAGGTGAACCTGAAGAAAGTCATATGGTTATCCTCCTGGATATTGGAAGTAGACAAGATTGCCAGGCAAACTTGGGTGCATGGGGGTGGTGGGGTGGGTGGAAGTAAGGGGAGATGGTTAGAGAGAAGGGAGAGGGGGAGGATTGGGGATGGCTTGGGTGAATGGGATGGGGGGGGGGAGAAAGAAAGGATGGATATGGGAGCAGGAAGGTATATATCTCAACTAAGGGAGCCATTTTAGGGTTTGCAAGAGACTTGATTCTAGAGGGCTTCCCAGGCCCAAGGAGAGGTCCCCAGATTGTTCAGATTGTTCCCTGGGCAGCAGAGGAGAGGGTGCCTGAACTGGCCTTGGCCCATAAGCATACTGATCAATATTTTGCATATCACCATAGAACCTTCATCTGGCGATGGATGGAGATAGCGACAAAGACGCATATTGGAACACTGGACATAACTCCCTAGGTTCAAATGAGGAGCAGAAGGAGGGAGAACGTGAGCAAGAAAGGCAGGACCAGAGGGAACCTTCACCTGACGATAGATGAAGATAGAGACGGAGACCCACATTGGAACACTGGACTGAGCCCCCAAGATCCAAATGAGGAGCAGAAAGAGGGAGAACATGAAAAAGGAAATCAGGACCGCGAGGGGTGTGTTCACCCTCTGATACAAGGTGACTGATCTAATGAGAGCTCACCAAGGCCAGCTGGACTGGGACTGAAGGAGCATGTGATCAAACCGGAGTCTCTGAATGTGGCTGACATGGGGGCTGACTGAGAAGCCATTGACAGTGGCACTGGGTCTTGTTTTGTCTGCATGTACTGGCTTTTTGGGATCCTAGTCTGTTTGGATGCTCAGCTTCCTAGACTTGGAGGGAGAGCGGAGGAACTTGAACTTCCCACAGGGCAGGAAACCCTGACTGCTCTTAGGACTGGAGAGGGAGGAGGAGAGGGAGTGGGGGGGAGGAGAGGGAGTGGGGGGAATGGGAGGATATGGGGAGGAGGGGAGGAAGTGGAAATTTTTATAAACAAATAAATAAATTAATTAAAAAAAGAAATGGGTTAAATCAAGATGTGAGAGATAGCCAATAAGAGGTTAGAGCTAATGGACCAAGCAGTAATTTAATTAATACAGTTTTTGTGTGGTTATTTCAGGGCTAAGCAAGCCAGGGGCTAAGACTAACAAGCAGCCTCTACTCTTCAACAGAGAATTTTTATTTGTCTAGGCCAGGCAAAGGAAAATTGTACCCTTTGAGTCCAGGGATATCATACAAGTTCTTTTACAATATTATATGGGATCACATCCTTATTATTTATTAATATTGTAGAGTAAAATTTTACACTCCAAATAAAGAATTGGACAGTTATAACAGACCACAATGCCCCCCATGCCTGAAATATTTACTGGTCTGTCCCATTACTGACCCCTTTCTAGAATACATGTTTTCTTTCTATCAATGTGTTTATGGTCAAAAAATGTTTAATACGGTAAGAAACTCATTGCTGTTCAGTTTTCTCAAAGAATCCTGGTCTATGATGATTCCAATTGTCTCCTATAAATCATAAGCATTCTTCAGAGTAAGACACGGTGATAGTCATCCTAGCCATGGTTCTTTCTATGCTTGAAAGAGCATGAATGAGCAGCCAACATGCAGAGTCAGACTGAAAGTTGAGGTCATTCTGAGAAAGCTTGCAATTTGTTTCTCAAATTAAATCTTTAGCTATATGTTCTTTGGGGCTCAGCAGAAAAATTGAAGGCTATGTTGTAGGGAAGGAACAGAAGTCCTAAGAATCTTGAGGAGCTTTACAGGTTTTGGTTAGAATATGATTGACAGAGTGGTGATTTCCGTACTTATCATCAGGGAGCCTTCATTCAGTAATTGATAGAAGCAGATGCAGAGATCCACAGCCAAGCACTGGGTTGTGTTCCAGGAGTCCAGTTGAAGGGAGAAAGGAGGAATTTTATGGGCAAGGGGAGTCAAGCTCATGACAGGGAACCCACAGAGACAGCTGACCTGAGTGAGTGGGAGCTCATGGACACTTGTCAGGACTGACAGCTAGTGAGCTTGCAGAGGACCTACCTAGTCCCTCAGAATGTGGGTGATAGCTCTGTAGCTTGATCTGTTTGTGGATGCCCTACCAGTGGGATGAGGACCTGTTTCTGGTGCATGAGCTGGTTTTTTGGAACCTAATCCCCATGTTGGAACGACATGACTTGCTCAGTCTTGATACAGGGCCAGGAGCTTAGTTTAGCTTCAATTTGATATGCCATTATTTTGGACTCCCATGGGAGGCTTTCCTCTTTCTGAAGTAGGAGTAGTAGGTGGGGTGAGGTGGGAGGAGAGAATGGCAAAAGAAGATAGAAGAGAAACTGTTGTTGATATATAAAAAATTTAAAAAATGAACAAAAATAAAAAATTCAGCACTATGATAGAGGAAAACAACAAGAGCAACAACACACACACACACACACACAGAAGGTGATAAAATTACATTTGACTGGTGCCAGTGGTATCATGTATATTTATGCCTTGTTTTGCCATTTTACTAATAAAAAAATGGTAACTGGCAATGAAAGATCTCAAAATATATAATAAAATGAAATGTGCTTAACATGTTGAGTAAGTTAGAGTAAGCCTTTGCCATGCTCAGAGTCATAGTTCTGGGGAAAAGTGGGTTGAGAAGAAAAGAAAATTAAAAAATACCATCTATAAGACAGAAGAAAGAATTTAGTTTTCTAAAGGTATGATTAATGATGAGGTAAAAAAAACAGATATGAATGAAAAAGCAAATTTAGACTAAGAGGAAGAATATATTAACTATTGTACAATCTTAAAGAAGGGCATTCATGATAACTGTATTTCCATCACATAACTCTTAAATTTCTTGTGATTTGCCGTAATATGGCCTACAAATAACAGATAGTAAAGAAATTAGTCCAGATCTACACTGTGGCTTATTTAAAACTTCAATGTGTCATGGAGAGATGAAGCATATTTTAACTGAAGAGGACCGCAAATACTCCATTTGCCACCCAATGTCCCAAACTGGATGTTGCCATAATGCTCATAATTATTTAAAAGAGTATCATGTGTTGGTGCATTCAATCCAGTGATAACTGTTTATTAAAGTGGTTGCTAAGCGTTCTAAAGAAACAGAATAAAGTTGTGAATAGTGAAATGAGGACATGATGGCATATGCCTTTACTTTTAGCAATCAAGAGGAGGATGCATGCAGATCCCAGTGAGTTCCAGACCAGTCTGCACTACACTTTCAAACCTATCTTTTAATAAAGTATAATACAAAATGTTCAATATGCTGTAGTTCTACAAGTATGTGAGAAGTCTTAGGACCACAAATATTTGGTAACGTCTAGTTTTGCTACTAGAAATAGTTATGGAAGTGTGTTTGGATAGTTGTACTAAGGAAAGTCTCTTTTTATAAACTAAAATTCCTCCTTGAAATGGTTTAATTTTATTTTCTTTAAAGGAAACTAAACTATAGCTTCTTTCCTTGCATTGCACAAAAATTCCTTGGTGGGGAAGGCAGTGAAAGGAGCTGACCTTCAAAAGAAATTGTAAATAAAGTTATGGTTTTATATATTAAATGTTCTCTCAAAAAGGTTCAGGTATTAAAAACTTGTTTGCTAGTTGCAATGTAGAGCAGTGACTAGAAAGAGAGGGATCTAGTATAGTCTGTGGCCTAACTGAGCAGGGAGTTCATATGTCATTATTTGGAGGTTGTACAAATGATCAGAAATTGTGTCACTGAAGAAATGGGTTACTTAGGGTATGACTATAAAGTTAGATCTCACTTTTGCCCCTTTATTGTTCTCTGCTTCTATATTTCCATGCCATGACGAGATTCTTTTTTTAAACAAGATTCACATTTTATTTAGAATGAAATAAACTGTACAATATTGATTTAATTCACAAAAATAACAGTAATATTTTCTGTATTACTCTTTAGATAAACCACAAAACATTTATTTTTGTAGGTTTTGCTTATAAATCAAGACACGGTGGTAGACATAATCATGAAAAACAAGAAAACAGACTAGTCGATTGCCTGTATGGGTGTCCTTTGCCTGTCTTCACCGTGGAGCAGAAGTGAATTTACCTGTGGAAAGGGCTATGGAAATGTGGGCTCAACAAAGGAATGCAAACAGCAACAACCAAACGGATTGACAGCGCCTGGCTCTGCAGTTCACTCTTTCCTCTGAGGTCCTTCCGTTCTGAACAGACTACTGAAACCTGCTTGCTGAGCTCACAGACTTCCTTTGTAATTCCTGGGACTGATCATCATGCAGTTGGAGTCTGCTGCTTTTTTTCCTTTCTTTTCCGCTCTTGCAGTCCTGAGGCTTGGGCTTGCATGTGCTTGGCAAGTGCTCCACTGAACTATCCCCAGCTCTTGTTTTTTTTTTTTTTTTTTTTTTTTTGAGACAGGCCCACTATGTAGCTCAGGCTGGACTAAAACTTGTAATCCTCATGCCTCTGCCTTCCAAGTGCTGCTACCACAAATTTTAAACATCCATAACTCGTACAGGTCAAAAAATGGTGTACTTCGGTGCAATACATTATAAAATGTATCTCTCACAAATTCATTTTTCAAAGGCCTGATAATGCAACAGCTGACAACTGAATCCACAATAATGTTATATCTAAAACAACTTTAACTAGAACAGTTCCCGAGTGCCACCAGCAGGGAGGCATTCTGACATTCCCAACGCCAACTTCTGGGAGCAGACAGGTATGGAAAGCACGCGAGTTCAAACAGGGGCCAATATGTGTACTACCAACAGCGAATGACGCATTTAACTGGTGGTCTCGTGGCAAGGCACGCAGCGGTTAACTGACCCACCGCACCTTACGCTTTTCTTCCAAACGGCAAACACAAGAACGACAGTCGTTTTAGAAATCTTTTAGGCATTTTCAATGGTTTCTGAATTATTCGTAGGAAACTCTGGTTTATTTGTATAGAGTGTGATGCATGTGTCCACTATTAAATCCAGATCATGTTTTATATCAAAATTTATGTTAAGCAAAGCCAGGTTACTTGACCTCTGGTCTGTCAAAGTGTTCCGCAGATACGCCTTGAGACGCTTCCGTCCATTTTCATAGCGCTCATTCTCAACCTTTATCAAAGGAGAATACACAGGACCTTCAGCAAAGCATACACATTGGGGAAAAACTTGATGTCAGGAAGATGGAGGGCCTTGTAGATGGTGGACGGGAGCTCGATGTCTCTCCCTCTGTGCTTCCACTTGATCCTCCAACAGCGCAGCTCGGCTGAGAGCGTGTCGGGATTGGGGAGGTCACTTCTGTACATGTCGGCCTGGTGCTCCTCGGATGTGCTGAATTTGAGCTGCCCCTTCACCGAGGGTACCAGAGACAGACATTTCAGAGCTTTGAGGTGCTGCTCAGAAAACATATCTTTAAGCTCCTGAATAATGTGCTCCACCGTGGGAACACTGAGGGTGTCTTTATAGTAACTCTCAGAGGTTAGCTGAGATTCCAGGTTACCTTGCTGGGCCCTCCGGAATTTCCCTGGGAGTTTCATTTGAATGTCAAGCTTGGTTGCTAAACTTGTGACTTCCTCAAACCAAAACTCGTGATAAACTTCGACGTTCTCCATCACCTCGTTAAGTGAATGCAGTACTGCAGTCAGGATACTGGCTGCAAAGAAGACATCCGAGGTTTGTCCCTGGGGATTCTTCCCAAAGGCTCTCGTAAAAGATAACACATTCTTAAGAACAACGACGGTAACAATGAAATCAAAGTCTGTCACTGCGCTACAGAGTACACATGCTCGCCCTGCTATGCAGTTATTCCACCTGATATTCGTGTCGCTGTTTATGCCATCTAAACACAGAACAAGTGCTTGCAGGAGATCCACCAAGACCTCAAAGGCGTCGTGCCTGCCTGTCCACTGGGAATGGCAGATCTCCTTCAGTTCTTTCCCTCGTTCTTCGCTGTTCTGGAAAAGAACAGAGATCACATTGTCAAGTTCTAAGAGCAGCTGTGGTGACCGGTGGAAAAAAGAACAGACTTCCTCGATCACCCCTAAAGCCACGGACACCCCGATCACAGGGACAAACAGAGGGAGAGCAGAGGTTGTAGATGGCCTGGGGGTATTTTTCTAAAAGACTCAAAGCAACAAATTCCATCTTGGAAAAAAACCCACTGGACACGATGTAGGCCTGACCACGGCATTATTCCATATTCAACCCCCACTTCTCAGTTATTGCAGTGTGAAATTTCACAGCCAAAATCTCTGCATCAGCTTCATACGGCAGGAAGCCCACAAACTCCTCTCTCAGGTTGTGAGCTTCATGGACAAACCTCACCAGCACGGGCAGGAGCTCCACTCCTGCTATGTCCACCACGTCGTCTGTGATGACAGAAAAGAAGTGTGAGTCCCTCACTTCCCTGAGTGTCTCCTCCCGGATACAGCTCTGGCAGATCTCCAGCTCAGTCTCTGCTGAGCTTTAGAGCAGAATAGCGTGTTCACCACCGTGGTCTCAAATCGCTTCCTCAGGACCTCTTCTCCAGAATTGATCTGGCACTCCAGCAAGGCCTGAAAGTTGTCTGGAGCAAAGAGGCCTGGGACCTCATCAGCCTTGTGCCCATCCAAGGGTATGTTCTGCTTCCCCATGAGAATCAGGACCTCAAACAGCGACTTGAGGTACTCTTTGTTCTCCTTCTCTTCGAGGGTGAGAGGTAACACGTTCCCATCCTGATGGCTCCCTGCTTCGGCACTGGGGTTCTGAGCAGTGTTTTTAGTTTCCTGTTCTTGTTCACAAGTTTCCTCAATTGTTTTCTGTTTCAGTGTTCTGATTTCATCTTCACTCAACTCTTTTATTCGTTTTCTGTGTCTGCTATGTGGATTGTTCAAATGACTGGTGAGATCAAATATTGTCGGTATTGCATTATCTCGTAGAACTGTACGATAAGGACTAGTTCAACAACAGATCATAGAGGTCTCAAAGAGTTTGGCACATAGTCGATAATGCTGATTGGGGATTTTGTCTTCTAAGTCTCCTCTCCTACAATTTTCAACCCACTTCTGTCATCTGGCCGGGTCCCGAGGGAACCTGAAGAAGGCCAGGTCGGACTGCGTGCTCTTCCGTGTGCAGTTCGGGGCGGCGCAGAAGTTTGGCATGGTCCTCTGGCCACCAGCCAGTCCAGCCCTCCCCTCCCCGCCTAGGCATGGCGGGGCCGGGGAGGGGAGCTGGGCCGGCTGGCTGGCCGGCTCCCCCAGGCCGTGCGCACGGAGGACGAGATTCTTTTGACACTTTTGACAAACCTGTCTAACAAGATATGCCTTCCAATATGCTTAAAAAAAAAAACAAACAAAAAAACCAAAACCAAAACCAAAAATAAATAGCTGGGCAGTGGTGGTGCATGCCTTTAATCCCATCACTCAGGAAATAGACATTGGTGGAGGCTAGCCTGGTCTCCAAGATTTAGTTCCAAGACACGTTTCCGAAACTACAGAGAAACCCTGTATCAGATAAATAAATAAATAATAAATAAATACCAAACAAACTAACAAACGGCCAAAACAAAACAAAAAGAAAGAAAAACGGAGTAGTCGGCCTTAGACAAAAAAATAAAAAATACAAAAAAATAAAAAAAAAATAAAAAAAATCTCTGAAACTGTGAGACAAAATAAAACTGTGTTGTCTTGAACAGTTTTGAACAATATAGTTTGCACATTTGTCATTGTGGAAAAGAAAAAGCTGACCAATACAAAAGATAAACAGGTATAAAACAAAAGGACTCAGAAGAAGGGGAGATATCCCAAATGATTGTGAACTTCAAACTTGTAAGGGAATGCAATTCCAGTAACAACCTTTAAAAGTAGATGGAAACATTGCTATTTGCTCTTGATTCTCATTTATTAGTAGAGAGCGCTGGTTCTTGCTTAATGTAATACACTGGGTTGGCTCTCTTGTGTGGATGAGAGATGCAGAGAGATTGGTCAGGCCACTTAGTTGGCACATACCAGTAACATTGTTGATTATGGTACCTCCAAAGCATTGACTTTTTCTTCTTTCCTGTCTTAGGGAGTCTGCTCATACACTTCTATTTCTTTTAAAGATATATATTTAAAAGATGGATAGGGTTTTGAAATTTTAAAATAAATTTTCCAACTGTAAATTTATGTACTTATACTTTGTGTCAATACTATATTGTATTTTCAATTTTCTAACTTTTGTCTCCTATCACTATTCTTGAATATTTCACAAAAATATTAAAATTTTTGGGACTATTGAGTCATGATGAACACGTTATGTAATGGTTGTACCCTAATGAGCTTTCTAAGTTAGAGTCTTCCTTTATCCTCTGTGATACTACCATAAACTAGGGTGCAATATTTCCTAGTGCCTCAAAAAGAATTTCTTGAAAAATTTGAAAGTATAATTTTTAACTCTTTCCAAGTTAGGATAAAAATGATAAATAGAATAAAAATAAATATATAAACAACCCTGGAATACAAAATATAAACAGAAATGTTCATGTTATCACAATTATTACAAATATGTATTTCTAAATTATCATAGAAAAGTTTACAAGTTGATATATTTTGTGACATTTCCTCTGTTAAAATACTATTTTGTCATTATTTCAACATTATAGCATTATGAGTAGATTATTCTTTGAGAATTCTGGTTACTGATAAAAGAAATTCCCAATGTAACTGAAATTTATAATACATTCACAATTTATCCATGAGGCCTTAGAAACTAAGTTTCATACTACTCTTTCCTCTAAGTTGCTGAATAGCTAAAGTCAAACAAACACAAATATTTCTCTTTATTACGGAAAAAACTAAAGATTCTGGGTTGCCCATTCTCCTATCCATATTAATCAATGCAAATGAGGAACTTTAACAAAACAAAAACCATAACATTTAGGAAGAGACTTGATAAGTTTGCTTTTTACTGACATTACCATCCTGTTTATTTTAGGTTAGTGAGTATGGGTACTATAGTACTCTATCCACTTTGCTTTTCAACAGATAGATAATTTGCAACCCTTAACTATTTCCTCTGTACCTATTTCCAGTTGTCAGCTGTGAAGGCTGTGAATAGTCCCACAGCAGTGTCTTACTGCCAGCTGAAGTTTTCCTATTCTTATTTATCTCCCTGTGGTTCTGTCATGTCTTTGCAAGGTATGCAGGAAACTCACCCTAGTATTTGTGTGTGTTAAAAGGACTGAACAATTATTACCACTAAACACAGTTTCTTGGTGCTTGGGCGAGGAGAATAAACAAGAAATTTGTTGCTAGAAAAGTTTCTTTTGTGAAGGGTAAGAGATAGACTTAGCTGTGGATAAAATTATTTAGTATTTTAAAAATTCATTTAGAAATTATGCTAGTCTAATAAAGTAGTCAGTTCTATAAGATTTATGACCTGAGAAGTTTAATCTAATTTGTAAGACTTTTACAATTAGTTAAGATTTCCTTCCTGTTGATCTCTCCAAGCAGATAGTTGTTGGTGACCAACAAAGTATGGGCACCACTCCTGTACCTTTATGGCTATATTGCAGTGCTGATCATTGTGGTTCAAAGGCATTGTTATGGTTGTCACTTTACGAGACAAGCCACGCCCACTCCCGGTGACCCCTGTCCTTCTTTCGCCATCTTGACTCTCACGGTCCCCTTTTGGCCTGCTCTCTCTCTCTCTCTCTCTCTCTCTCTCTCTCTCTCTCTCTCTCTCCTTCCCTCTCTTCTCTGTCTCTCTCCTCTACTTCCCCCCCCCCAAGTAATGAATATCCAGTTCTATTCTGTATGATGTGTCTGTCCACATGTCTCCCACCCTCTCGCCTGCCCAGCCGCTCATCGCTAGGAAACTGCACCTTCGGGGGACTCACTGTCGCCAGGACCAGCCCAGCGCCACATGGCTGGGCCCTGCCCAGACTGGTGGCTCTTCCTGTCAGGGATATGCTGCTCAGGATCAGGCGCCTGGACCCGCTGTGAGCTGTAAGCTGCCTGCTCATACCCCAGGCTTGCTGGGACCAGCCCCCTGGGACCAGCCACTGCTAGGACTGGCAGACATCTCTGCCTGGGACTAGCGGCTCTGCTCCCAGAGCCCGCTGGCTGCCTACTGCCGCAGGGGATCTTGCAGCATTTTTAACAGGCATCATAACTAGTATAACTTTTGATTGCTTCCCTCCCTTGGCAGCATGCATAACACCTACTACTGTCAAACCTTGTGCAAAGGGAGAAATCTTTCAGTATTGATCCAACAAATCATCTCAGTTCTGTGTACTCAGTGTTCAGTGTCTCCAGGAATAGAGACTTACCTACAACCTCTGAAACATAGTCAAGAAAAATAGCCATGACCTATATTGTTTGGGAGACTCTCTTTGACTACCCTGACCAACAACTGCAGAGGAGGCTTCACATACTTATTTCTGATTAGAAAATCTTTAAATGATCATTGTCAGCCCAAGTGCTATAACTTCATTTAAGATATATGCTCATATACATAATTTTAGATAAATAAAATAACATTATTTCTTAGGCTTTTCTCAAACATTCTTAGTGGATTTTTCCTTCTCTACCTCTTTGTTTCTGCATCAACTACCTTTTTCCCCACTCTAATTAAATCTTCACTTCCTGTTTTGTCTATTTCCACTTCATGTCACCTATATTCTGCTAGTTTCCTCTCTACACATTCCCCCTTCCATGGTGCCTTTTTATTTTCCTGGTTTCTGTATTTAGTTACTGTTGATTATATGCTCACATATGAAGAACTGGAGAAAGGAGCCACAGATAAGAGAGAACAATGACTCTTTGTCTTTCTGGGTCTCAGTTACTGCACTCAATAGTTCCAAGTTCTATTCATTTACCAACAAATTTCATTATTTTATTTTTCTTTATAGATGAAGAGTATCCCATTTTCATTATTCATTCAGCTAGTTTCTACTTCCTAGCTATTGTGAACAGAGCATCAATGAACATTGTGGAACAATGTCTGTGGAGTAGAATGTTTAGTGGGTGGTATAGTTGGACACCACTATAAAGAAAACCACAACTTGTCCAGATGCAGAGATATACTGAGCTCCAGTGTATGCATCTACAGTCCAGCTGTTCCATGTATGGTTCAGACAACATCATAGAACAGGGGCCATAAAAATAGTAGGGGCTAGAGGAACAGGATAACTGATGTGAAACTGTGTCTCCTAGAAATGACGGGAAAGGTGCACCCATGGTAATCCAACATTATGACTAGCCATGCTAACATGGAAAAGGACCCGCCTTTTAGACAAAGTTACCCCCAACTAAGAGCAAGAGAATTAGTCTTCCCTAGTATTGGCATCCCAATGGCACATTGTCAGCCC